GTAAGGCACACAGATCTAGACTTGTTTCTCCTTCGGTAACAATTGTTTCTTGGAAGAGGAAGAAAACTTAGCTGGATTTTCTCTCTTTGTGTGGATTTCCAGGGTAGACACTCGGAGGTGTGTGCAGGAGCATGCTCTTTGGGGCCCACAGAGAGATTCCAGCAGGTGCTGGAGATTCTGGGGTAGCCTTTCCATGACTGCCGGCCTCTTTTCCCCTGTGTTGCTTTGGTTTGCTGTCTGGCTAAAGGCAGGAGTGGGAGAAACTCACATTTCGCAAGAGGCTGCCCGGAACAGAGGTCAAGAGGGTAAGGTTTGTCCAAGGCCTTCCCTCTCAGCTTTGCTACCAATTTGTCAGGAAAAAAAAAATCGTTTGTGCCAATTAGACCCTGGTTAGGAAAGTGTTGTCCTGTTTGGGAGGCGGGTACAGAAGCCAATTGCAAGGACAGGAGATCAATGAAAGTGACACATTACTATGCCTCCAATTCTTCTCAGCCCTCAATTTACTCTCTGAGACACAGAGAAAATAAGTGTACTTGCCTTGCTAATGGGTACATGGTTGGCTCTCGGCAATTTATATAGAGCACTTTAGTTCCAAGATGAAATGCACTGGGATATTAGGATTAGTCTCTGCTTTAATTAGTTTCTGACTTGCAGGTTTGAAAAAATTTAGTTCTTTTCTGTACTTCTCCACAAACACAAAACAATAATTTAATGGTAAAACAGCAATGAAAAGAAACCAGGCCATTCTCTCCAACATGGTTAAAAGGGTACTTCTCCTGATCTGACATAACTGTTCCTCATATGAATTTATTATCTGTATTCACACTCATATTCCACCTGAATGCCTTGGGTCCAGGTGGGTGGTTGCTTATGGTTCGTGTGTATTCTGAGCAGGTAGGCCTTCATACTGTTTGTTGACGCCTGTGGTGGACACACCTTAAAGTGACTTCTCACACCCCTGAGTCATATTCTTGTATAATCTCTTCTCTTTGAGGACACAAATTGTGACCTGCTTCAAACCAGTAGAATAGAGACAAGGTGATGAGATCTTTGGTGATTGCATCTAACTGCTTCATTTATTGCACAATTAGTCACACACTATTTTGTGATGCACAACATTTTTTTTTTAAGAGATAGGAGTCTCACTCTGTCACCCAGGTTGGAGTGCAGTGACATGATCAGAGCTCACTGCAGCCTCAAACTCCTGGGCTTAAGGGATCCTCCTGCCTCAGCCTCCCAAGTAGCTGGGACTAGAGGTGCATGCCACCACACCCAGTTCTTTTTTATTTTTTGTAGAGATGGAATATCACTTCGTGGCCCAAGCTGGTCTCCAACTCCTGGGCTCAAGCAATCCTACCATCTTGGCTTCTCAAATTGCTGGGATCACAAGTGTGAGCCACCGTGCCTGGACTGTGATGCAAAATTTTATTTAAACCTTTATTGTTGACTGTAGCATCATGCACTTATTATTTTCCCTCTTAACTAGATTTTAAGTCTCTTGAGGGCAAGAACTCTGTTCTTGAAGATTTTCAAAAGCCCCATAGCAATTGGAAGTACAGTAAGTACACAGTCATATGTAATTTGGGTTTCTGAGCCTTCATTTGTCCAACTAAACCAGATGGGTCTTAGATGAAGATATACATGGCAAACACTGCATGCCTACTGTGGGCCAGGTTAGATCCCAGACATGCAGAGAACAAGACAAAAACTCTGTCCTCAGGGGTTCATGGTGGTTCAACTTAACCAATGAAGTCTTGCAATCTCACTTCCTCCTTACCTTGTAGAATCGGAAGATATCCAAAGATTCCTAGAGTTCTTTGTCAAGCTGTCAGAATTATAATTCCACAGATCAGGCATAGTGTAACCATGAAGTTCTTCAGTGAATTTTTAGTGACTTTTGGGTGATTTTTTAGTTTCCAAGTAGAAGAAGCAAAAGACCCTTGTGGTGGTTACCTTCCATCTAAACATAGAGTGAGCTGCAAAGATACTGCTGTCCCTCGGTGGCCCATGGGTGTCCCCGCAAATTTGTGACTCAGGTGGCCATATTCATATTAAGCAGACCAGATATCAAGACCATATTAGGCATGAACCACTTTTTATTAATAGGCTTACCGAATATATTGAATTAAGAAGCATATAGTTTGTACGCCCTATTTACCAAAAAGAACTAAATATGTATACAGCCTAAAATACATCCACTGTAGTCTGCATACTGTAAAACTTGCTTCTTTACACATAGCAACTATTCTTATTTTACCTAGGTTATGCATTTAAAATACATACAAATGGTACCAAATAGCATATTGGCCTATTTTATCACAATTCTTATACGTTCCTGATAATCAAAGGGATTGATAGGGAATGCATAGTTTCCTACTAGAAAAAAAAGTAGATTTTGATACAAGCAATGGAATATAGTAAGGATAATAATGACTTGGTTTAGATCTCAGTAGCTTTACAATATACTTCTTATTTGAATGAGCATTATAGTTGGTTCTCTTCATTACTAATTGAGATGTTGTTAATTTTCCTGGTCATTCTATGCTCTGCTTGCCTGGCTGAGGCAAAGGAAGTCCTTATCCTTTTTTCTTTTCTTCCAGTTTGTTTTTACTTTCCCAAGTTTCCTCCGGAGCCATCTGCCCCACCTTGCCATTCCCCTTGCACTGCCACCCAAATCTGGACCACTTTCTCATTGCGTCATTGCATACAACTAGATTATTGTATTCCACTCCAGGAAGCTGTTGAACAGAATCTTTGGCCACCGCCTAATTAAAGAACTTCCTTCCGCAGCTGCAAAGGAGAGGCTGATACCTCTGCGGAAGAATCGGGAAGCCAGCTTAAGAGATTTTCTTTAGGTGGCATGCAAATAGACTGCCATCCTGCAGATCTTCATCTCCCCTTCATTATACCCCAGGCCGGAGAAATTTCCATCATGAGCACTCCTGGCCGCCAAACCTCCGGCATCCCACGCTGATTTCTTTCCTAAAAATACACAGACTCTCACTCCATGGGGAAGAAAAATGCAACTCTGCCATTTCCAGTGTGCTCCCTGAAGGCTGCTGATGGCCGAGAGCAATTCATCACCACTCGTGCGTTCAGGCTTTGAATTTTTCCTTCACAGATCGCTTCTTGTTTATCTGGTGGACAATGTGACAAGAACCAGATGTGTCTCAACCTCAACATCCCTCCCATAGCTATGCAGGGGGAGAAACAACCAGACCAGCTAGATATCCTCCTTAGAACGGCAGAAAACTATCCGAAATTTCTGAACCACTTTCAAGAGTGGGGCCTTGCATGTAAAAAGAGTAGGGCATGTAATTGCATGTTTGTTCATTGTTAAATGGATTAGTTGATTGAATCGTGTCTATTCAGTATGATTTTTCTTCTGGCTCTGCATATTTTGTTGCACTTTTTACTTTATCTCAAGGTGCTGCCAAATTCAAAATCATGCTAGAAATGAAAGTCTTTCTTTGGGAGGGTATAGCAGGGTGTCTTAGAAAGAAAATACAATGTCTGCTGATCAGAGGGAAACATCTTGCTTTGCCAGTCCCCATTGGATAACCATGGCAGGCAATTTATATAGTTTTCATGTCTATTTCCTTCTCTCTGGAATTAGAATAATACCTACCCTGCAATAAACTTCAGAACTATTTATGAACAAATGAGGTGAATACTAATATGCATTGGAAAAATATAAAGCCTTGCTAAATGTAAGGTGGCCTTATCATCCACTGTCCAGTAGCACAGTGCTCTTCATATCTAAGATTTATTTTTAGAGTCTTGGTAACAGACTCATTCCCGATCCTATGGAGTATGGGGACAAGTCCCCCTTTAAGGAAAGGCCTTAAAGCCACATGGCTGCACAGAGGGATCAGTCCAGGAGCCTAGCCACAGAGCTCATCAAGAAGAAACAAGCTGAGCAGACGACCACCCAATGGGTGATGGGAGGGAAAGTAGAAGAAAGATCTGCCCCCCGCTTCAAGCTGATCTCCACTGGGGACAGTCCACATATGTCTCTGCTTTGCATTTTTGCTGTTGCTTGGTTGGTTTTGTGTTTTACATTATTACTGGAAGAATGCTTCTTGCAGTAATTGTTTAAAACTTCAGGGATTCTTGGGACGAAGCAGTAAGATTAATGAAGCAAAGCGTTTGCCACCCTGTGCCAAGAGCATCTATGCTCCTTTAGTAAGTTGGCCAGAATAAATATCTCCTTCCACAGCATAGGCGCTCTGTAGATTGCAGGCTTTAGTCTTGTATAAAATAAAATTATAAAAAAGGAAAACCTGATTGCAGTTGAGTGGGTCACCCACTTCTCACACCCCATCCATCACCTGTTTAGATCATTCTTTCACCCCCTAATTCCCCATCCGGACTCAACAGTTCTCCCCATCTTAAGCCCGGCGTCCTGTGTTTCCTGCTTTCCCAGAATCTGGCAATGTGATCAGAATAGTGAGTGCAGGGGGCTCAGTCGCTAATTCACCCTCAGAGGTACAGCTGGGAACGTGATACCTCTCTGCAGTGGCAACACTGTGAAAAGATGCTACCTTGCCATCCCTACAGGTGGCTGGAATTGGGAACATTACTTTGATCTGGCATAGATGCTGGGACTGTCTAAATATCTCCTACAGTTTGCCAAATACCCATTTTTCTGCTCAGTTTGTCTGAGGGGTTCCATGCAACAGAAAGAATAGCTTGCCATCTTTAGGGCTGCAGGAACAGCAGAGCTCTTCCCCTTTCAGCCTCTAATGGGGGAACCTGGGCATTTGTAGCCTGTTCAAATAAACCAAGAAGGCAAAAAAAAAAAAAAAAAAAAAGCAGAAGAAAAGTAATTTGCACTTAAAAATGAAAACAAACCACTTTTCTCCTGTTCGCTTGGTATTTGTAGAAGTTTCAAGTAACAACACTACTATGTGTGGGTGAGTTCGTTCACTAAAATCCGTGGTTTCTGAGGCTGGAAGCCTCAGCCTACAGTCCCAGAATGTTACCCAAGAGTGCTGATGTAACATCAATGCTTCATTCTCTGAGTGCTATTTATTGTCTCAGTCTTCATTGCTTAAAGTCAGGAAACAACAAACACATTCATATTTGTGGCAAAACATCTACCTACTCATGACATGGCAAATAATCATTTTACAATAACAATACAGTACAATATGATCGTGCTACTTTCATGGCTAGGAATGAAGTTGTTGGATTTCTCTCTCAGAGCTACCCCTAAAGGCATTCACTTTATATTCTCTGAAGAGAACCAGCTAACCAGGTGGAACATCCACTAAGAATCTTCCACATAACCGAACCCCAGGAGCTTCCCTATTGCCCATACCAGAGAGGCCCATTTGGAAATACACCATCTGGTTTCTTGAGCACAGACCTGGAGTGTGGGATTCAGCTTGGCTGGCTCCAAAGCTGGCCCCTACTGATCAGCCTGAGATCCCCAGCCTGCACAGGCTGATTCCACGGCCAACACGTGGGCCCTGTGAGCATGTGCGTCCGGGGGCGGGGCGGGGGGCGGGGTTCCTTTGGGAAAGTACTGGGAGAGGGAGTCTTCCTATCTGAGTATCTTGGGTTGTGATTTGGTGTGAGCTTCACTGGCAGCTGCAATAGCAGCAACTCAACAAAACGGGACTGTTACACAAGCGGGGCGGAAGGCAGGTGGGCCGGCAGGGAAGTTGGTATTCGATTACTTGAAATATTCAGTTGTCCAGAGGGCAAGGACACGCACCAATCAAAGGACCACCTCTAGGTTTCAAAGCACGTCAAGATCTGTGTAAAGTCCTCTTTGCCTTCGTAAAATCTCACTTCAAAAATTCTACCAAATGCTTATCAGACGGAAATAACTGTTTCATCCCTCTAAAGGACGAAATGAAAAGCACCATTCAGTGTTTGGCCTGTCTGCTGGTTACCCACAAACTCAACGGGTGGGTTCCGAGAAGCAGATGAGCCATGAAGAGCATCAAACAAGCATTACTGCTCTGGCCACCACAGGGTCAGCTTTGAACCATAAGAAAGAGGGAGAAACTCCTTTGAGTCGCTGCTGGGCCTGCCGCCTGTGCTGGGTCTAGACATGTGTCACCAGAATATTGTCTTTGTGGCAGAGGAAGCAATGTCAAACATTAAATTGCTAACGTATCCATGACAAGCATTCATATGAGCCAACAAAATCACCAAGGTTCTGCTATTAAGGAGGATTCAGGAAGACTGGGCATTACTTTTAGGAAACTGGGATGACTCAAAATAGCACTGCTGAGTGTTACAAGATTTTTAAACTAATAATCAGCAAATCTTTTCAGCTGACTTTTGGCTTTAAGAGTTCTTACCAAAAAGATTGCTAAAGTGGAATGAGAGGGGCTCAAAGTTTGTTTTTTTATTTCATTATAAGAGCTGTCCCATCTTATCCAATTTTCTTCTTCCTCATTAAAAAGGGGAAAAAAGGCATATTACATTTCTAGATGGTAAGAGTAAATGCTGCACTCTTTTCTCAGAAATTACAGGCTTTAAGATGCTCTTTAAAATGGTAGAAGGGGCATGTCATGCAGTTAGCCAATAAATGCAATCCCTGATTAAAATGTGAGTTCTAAAAGTTTGAAAACGTCTAACTATGTCAGTGCTTTTTAATTTCAGGGCTCTGAGCCTGGCTTTGATTTGTGTGTTGATTTTTCTTGGTCCTCTCTTGTGAGAGCTAATGCTACATGTCTTTTAATTTCACCCACCACACCTTCACAAACTTAAGTCAACAATGATATGTTCAAAAATCTTTGTTTTCCCTTTGAAACTGGATGCAAAAAAGAAATCTCTCCTGTCGGTGGAGACAGCTGTGAAGGAACGAGGCGCCTGCACATAAATCTCCTTAAACTTTTTGAATAGCTGCTTCTCTTTATCCCACTGGTATATCTGAGAGAATGTATAGTCACTCCCCAGGGCCAGGTAGTGATTATCTTTAAAAGAAAAGGGCTGCAGGGTCATGGCCCCCCGGGATGGAAGAGCTTGGATCTCCACGAACTGCTTACTGTTCCACCTCATGACCCGGGAGTCCCCGATGAAGCGGGTGAGGGAAAGGTACAGGGTATTGTGCATTCGGAAGCTCTTCACAGCCAGTACGTCCTCCATGTTGGGGATGTCACCATGGGGGACAAACTTCTTAGAGCTTTTATTCCACTGGAGGATGATGGGGACCTGGGAGCGGCTGGACAGGATGAGATGCGATTTTCCATCGATATCAACAAACTCTGCATCCGTGTCTCTGAACCACTCATGCAGTGACTGGTAAGAATAGAATCCTTTGCTGTTCCATTTGTAAACTGTGGACAGACCAGCCTTCGAGCTGTCTGCGATGACAAAGAACGTCTCGTCGTCGATCTGAAACAGCTCGATGTCGTTGGGCTTGGAAATGCGAGAGACCTCTATGTCTTGGAATTTGACAAATTTGGTCCAGCTCTCGTCGTATTTGTAAATGTGAGAGCCGCCGAAGAGCTGGGCTACCACCACAAAGACCTGATCATCGATGAGAATGGCCTTACAGCCCACGATGGACTGACCTGTGCTCCAAAATAAAGGAGAGGAGATTAGTGCAACTACAGCTAAAAACGCATCTCCACTTGTACTCTTGTACACTGCTGATGGGAGTGTGAAATGGCACAGTCACTATGGAAAACAGTAAACATGGACTTAACCTACGAGCCAGCAATTCCACTTCTTGGTATAAACCCAAAATAATTGAAAGCAGTGACTCAAAGAGATATCTGTACACCTAATGCTATAGACCAAATGTTTGTGCTCTCTCCAAATGCATATGATGAAACCTCACCTCCAATGTGATGGTATTTGGTGGTGGGGCCTTTGGGAGGTGATTAGTTCATGGGAACAGAGTCCTCAGGAATGGGGTTAGTGCCCTTCCAACTCCCTCTGCCCTTCCACCACATGAAGACACAGCAAAGAGGTGGTCAGCTATGCAGTGGGTTCTTGCCACATACCAAATCTGCCAGTGTCTTGATCTTGGACTTCCCAGTCCCAGAACTACGAGAAATAAATTTCTGTTGCTTATAAGCCACTCAGTCTATGGTATTCTGTTGCAGCAGCCCAAACAGACTAAGACACCTATAACATCATCCTTCACAATAGCCAACAGGTGGAAGTAACTCAGGTTGCTTCAACGGATGAATAGACCAAGTGTGGCATATACATAAAATGGAATATTATTCAGCCTTAAAAAGGAAGAAAATTCTGACATATGCTACAACATGGATGGACTTTGAGGGCATTAAGCTAAGTGAAATAGCCAGTCACAAAAAGATAAATACTATATGATTCCAGTTATATGAGGTACCTAGAGCAGTCGGATGTATAGGGACAGAAAGGAAAGGAGTGGTTTTCAGGGGCTGTGGGATGGGGGAAATGAGGAGTTGTCATTTAATGGCAGAGTTTCAGTTTTTCAAGATGAAAAGCGTTTGGAGGTTAGTTATACAACAATGTGAATGTATCTAACACTACTGACCAGTATATTAAAACATGGTTAAGATAGTACATTTTGTGCTTTGTGTATTTTGCCACAATTAAAACAATTTTTAAAAATTATCTAAAAATGTGCTTCCATAGAAATGGTCAAGTGAGGTCATCAGGGCCTCTGGAGTCCTCAGAGGCAGGCATACAATTCAGGAAACTCACTAATGCACCAAAGGAATTATCGTCATGCTTTTTAATAAAGCTACATTAAATAGCTTGATTTAGCCATTCCACAATCTATACATATTTCAAAACTACATTTTATACACAAACAAATAGACACAATTTAATTTGTCAGTTAAAAAATGTGTATCCATGGAAGAAAAATAAAAAGTATTTCCTGACTCCATATGGCAGAAGTAGGCAGTTAAACAGGCTTCTCCTGGTGGTGGGGTTGGGTAAGGGATGGTGAAAAGGCAGGACTAAGGTCTCAGAGGCAGGAGAAAAAGATTTCTGAGTGTTCTTGAAGACATTTGGGCTCTTTTGATTTCCAGAGCCAAAGGAAGCCAAGTGGAGGCAGAAAGAGTAGGGTTATACCTCATGACACAGACCAGAGGCCTAGGGTTCAAAGCCTATCCCTGCACCTTATAAGCTTTCTGACCCTGTGCCAGTTAACCCAACTCTGTGCTCAAGTTCTTCATTCATAAAATGAGATTGAAGATGCTGCCAGCACTGATCTTACAAGTGACTGTAAGGATGAAATGAGATCATTCATGGCAAGTGTTTCTAGCATGGAGCACTGGCACCTAGGGGGTGATTGATCATTAGTGGCTATCATTATTGGACAATTGAAGCAATTGTCACAGTAATCACAAGACCTTGCCCCTTAGTGCTTGCCCATAGGGGGCATGCATAAATATCTAAAGAAGGAGCGATAGTCTGAATGATCTCGTTCAGGCGTCATAAAACTAAGACTTTGCAGAGACAGGGGACCATTTTCCATGGTGACTCTCCTCTCTGGCTCACCTCCCACCATCCCTTCTCATCCTGCACCCAGATGCCCCCCAGACCTCCCCATTCCAGAAGACCAACCACTAAGCAAAGGACCACCCACAAGACCACTGATCCTCCATCTAGATCATTTGATTAAAGGTTTTTTCTTTCCTTTAATTTTCTATGTAATTTGGACCAAAGCGAAATTGGCCAGAATCCCAAATTCTAAGGATGATTCCATTTCTATCCTAAGGACTGGCTTTGGGGGCTGACACTGGGTGGTTTTCAGAGTGGCATTTACTTTTCTCTTTCACCATTCTGGCCTTCCTGCAAGGACCTAATCCCTTTTCCTTGTTTAAAACTAATTATTGCATTGTTTTTTCCTGAGGATATGTGTGCTAAATGTTTACCAGAGCAAATTTTGAAAATACTAAGAGGTAAAACGTAAAAAGTGTGTAGGTGGGCCGGGCACGGTGGCTTATGCCTGTAATCCCAGCACTTTGGGAGGTCGAGGTGGGCGGATCACGAGGTCAGGAGATCAAGACCATCCTGGCTAACACGGTGAAACCCCTTCTCTACTAAAAATACAAAAAAATTAGCCGGGCGTGGTGGTGAGCGCCTATAGTCCCAGCTACTCGGGAGGCTGAGGCAGGAGAATGGCATGAACCCAGGAGGCGGAGGTTGCAGTGAGCCGAGATCGAGCCACTGCACTCCAGCCTGGGCGACAGAGCGAGACTCCATCTCAAAAAAAAATAAAAATAAAAAAATGTGTAGCTATGACTAGGCACTATTCTAAGTACTCTACATGCATTTACTTATTTAATCCTTATAACAACTGTATGAGGCATATACTATTCTTAGCAGCATCATCATCCATTTTACAAAGGGTAAAACTGAGGCACAGAGAAGTTAAGTAATTTAGTAAAAGTCACACAGCTAGTATGCGGTAGAGACTGAGATTTAAATTCAGATAGTTTGGCCTCAGTCTACACTCTGCTACCAAAGAACCAAAAAGCACAAAGAAGAAAATACAAACCAGTTGTACTATAGATGTGAAATAACACCTAATATCTTGATTATATTATTTAATGTTTAATCTATGCACATATTCAAATATTCTTTTTTCAAAAACTGGGGTTTATGTTATCCATAGATATTTTATAATCTACCTTTTTTCCACTTGGCGCCCATGCTGTGAACATTTCCTCATGCTGATGATTCTTCAACAACTTGATATTGTTTGATACACAGAATCTCATTGCATGGATGCACCATCTTGTATTTAATTAATGCTCTACTGTTGGACACTGCAGTTATTTCTAGGTTTTCCTTATTGTAAAATAACGTTTCCTTTGAAATATTGTTAAATAACATGTTTTGATACCATCTGGCAGTGTTCTCAAGTGTAAGAATTGCTGGGGCAAATGTTGTGCACATTTTTAAGCTTTTGGGTTTTAACTGCCAAACTGCTCTTCAAAAGCGGCATTGACTTCCACCCTGTCAACACTAATTGAGAGTGCAGGCTCCTCATCTCTTCTTGAGCACCTGGCTACGGAGGCCACCGCCCCCCAGAAGCATCCTAGAGGTCTGCCTGTCACAGCCAAAGGACCGCGTGAAACAGAAGGAATTCCTTTCCTGGAGATGCTCTGGAACACACTCTGTCCAGGTTAGCCGTGGAGTTGTCAGTAGCAGACAGATCATTGTGTGCGTGTGTGTGGCGCATGGGGGTGGTGAATGTAGGAAGAGGGATTACAGGTCGGAACATACTTAGCCTGCAGAAATCAAAAGGCAAACAAAATAAACCAAAACTGAGAAAGCCGAGATGAGGTGTAGAGAGAACGAGGAGAAGCGAACCTCACGGTGAACATGACCATGGGTTTCTCTCTCTCCCCTGGGGCACATGGACAGCTGAAGCCGTCCCTTTGGCAACATGGTCACCAGGCCGGCAAAGGAGGAAGTGCATGGATTGAGAAAATCCTGCCCCGCCCTTGTCAACTTGGGGATGACTCCACGACCAAACAAGATGTCAAATGAGGTATGCACAGCACAGGGAGGGAGAATGATCCATTTACCTCCTTCTTCTTCTAGGCAAGTAGCACCCAGGGCAGCGTCCTTGCCTATCCACGTGTGCTGTAGGGCTTTCCCTCATGCCAGGCTCAATGCCAGCTACCGAGAGACAGCTCCACTCCTCCCTCCATGGAGCGATCCCCCTTCCTTCTGTAGCACCACCTTCTACCTCCCTCAGGGAAGTCTGCTGCTCTCTGCATTCCCAACGCTCATGCAAGTTGTGGAGCAGTTTTAATGGGAATCATAAAGGTAGAGTCTGTGGGGGGAAAAGGAGGGTTGCTCCTATTTTACCCCCATTAAATCCTTACAGTATTGGCCAGGCACGTTGTCTCATACCTGTAATCCTAACACTTTGGGAGGCGGAGGCGGGTGAATCACCTGAGGTCAGGAGTTCGAGAACAGCCTAGCCAACATGGTGAAACCCCGTCTCTACTAAAAATACAAAAATTATCCAGGCATGGTGGTGTGTGCCTGTGATCCCAGATACTCGCGAGGCTGAGGCCGGAAAATCATTTGAATCTGGGAGGTGGAGGTTGTAGTGAGCCGAGATCACACCACTGCACTCCAGCCAGTGTGACAAGAATGAGACTCTATCTGAAAAAAAAAAAAAAAAATTCCTTATAGTGTTTCCCTGAGTCCAATACTATGCTGATCTCATTTTACAGATAAAGTGGAAATTCCTAAAATCTCCACTTTACAGATGAGAGGGGCTCGTGCACATTAAACCACTTGGCCACGGCCACCAACCAGTAAGGGCTGGAGCCAGGATGATCAAAAGCCAGTCTGATGTTGGAACTCATTTCTCGGGCTTGGTGGTGAAAAGAGGAGCCAGGTGGGCTTCATGTCATGGTCGCCGAGCTGTGGGATGATTCAGACTTGGAGACTGAGGGGCTGAGGAATCCTTGGAAACTAACAAGGTCCAGCAGGGCTTTGACCCCAGCCACACCCACTCGAATCGCACTGACTTCCTCCCTACCAGCTCTGTGGCCTCCGTTCGGTCCAGGCCATGCTTGCTTGCCTGGGTTCCACATTCTTTTCACAGCCTCTTAGCTGGCCACTGTGCTTCCACCTTTGTGCCCTCACTCCAAAAGTCTATATTGGACCTGGTAGCTGGACACAATCCAGCCTCTTAGCTAGGTACCTGCATCCTCCTGCCTCTGCACAAAACCCTCCGTGGCTTTGCAGGACATTCAGAAGAAAAGCCAAGTCCTTCCTAGGATCTGTGAGACTCCATGATGAGCCTTTCTGACTTCGGACTCATCAACTGCAACTCCGCGCTGGCTCATTTTGCTCATGCCAAACCATCCCCCCGGATGTTCTTCAAACAGGAAAGATGCTCTCCTGCCTCCACCTATGCACTTGCTGCTCCCTTTGCCTGGAATGCTCTTCCCCCATCTCCATGGGAACCAATCCCACCGATCCCACAGGTCTTATTCAAGTAGCACCTTCTTAATGAGGCCTCTCCTGGACACTCTACCCAAGTCTTCAAATCCTCCCACACACAGTACTCCACATCTTCCTTCTTCACTTTATTTCCCCTCCTTAGCACATTTCTGTCTGATGTGTTTTTTGTTAATACTACAATTATTTGTACGATAATTATTACAATATGAATATTCTTTCTTACTGTCTCTTTCTCCCATTAGAATGGAAACTCCTGAGGGCAAAGGTTTTTACGTTTTGTTTTGTTTTTTTGAGATGGAGTCTTGCTCTGTCACCCAGGCTGGAGTGCAGCAGCATGATCTTGGCTCACTTCAACCTCTGCCTCCTGCGTTCAAGCAATTCTTCTGCCTGAGCCTCCCAAGTAGCTGGGATTACAGGCGCCCGCCACCACGCCTGGCTAATTTTTGTATTTTTAGTAGAGACAAGGTTTCACCATATTGGCCAGGTTGGTCTCAAACTCCTGACCTCGTGATCCACCTGCCTTGGCCTCCCAAAGTGCTGGGATTACAGGCATAAGCCATTACGCCCGGCCAGAATTTTATCTGGTTTATTCACTGCTGTGTCCCCAGCACCAAGAACATGCCTGGCTCAGAGTAAATGTTCAAGAAATCTTTGGAACAAATAAATAAATTTAAGAATGCCACCAGCTGCCGTATATCAGAAGGGCAGGAGTTTGAGATCAGCCTAGCCAACATAGCGAAACCCCGTCTCTACTAAAAATAAAAAACATTAGCCGGGTGTGGTGGTGGGTGCCTACAGTCCCAGCTACTCAGAGGGCTGAGGCAGGAGAATCGCTTGAACCCAGGAGGCGGAGGTTGCGGTGAGCTGAGACTGTGCCACTGCACTCCAGCACGACGACAGAGTGAGACTCCATCTAAAATAGTAATAATAATAATAATAATAAAAAGAAAAAAGAAAGACAGGGCTGTCCTACCAAGGTCAACCTGGGAGAGAAATCCAGTGGGCTACAACCATGAGAAACCCCAGGCTCGGCCCTGAATAAACAGTGGGTGACTGGACACGCCTGAGCCTGGACCTCATCATTTGTAAGGCTGTGAAAAGGATGGCGGCTTTGAGAAGTGCCTGCTCCGTGCACTCAATCCTCACAGCATCCACATGAGGCACATCCACTCCCCATTTCCCAGATGAGAAAACCACACCTCAAAGGCACAGGTACTTCCTAGTCCATGGCAGAGTTGGGAGTACAATCCGTGTGCATCAGTTTTCAAAAGCTGAGCTCTGTCTAGTATGTATGCCTCCTCTCTCTAAAGAAGAGAGCTTTTGTCCTCCAACCTATGGGCAGATGTAACTCCAAGGACTGTTATGAGCTTCCAATGGGATAAACTAGGCCCTGGTGCCTCACAGGCTCACAGCCAACATCGGCACTGGAACTTGTTCAAGAGCAAAGCTCAGCTAGGCACGGTGGCTCAAGCCTACAATCCCAGCACTTTGGGAGGCCAAGGCAGGAGGATCCCTTGAGCTCAAGAGTTTGAGACCAGCCTGGGCATCATAGTGAGACCCTGTCTCTACAAAAAATAAAAAATTAGCTGGGTGCAGTGGTGTGTGCTTGTAGTCCCAGCTACTCAGGAGGCTGGGGCAGGAGGATCCCTTGAGCTCAGGAGTTCCAGGTTGCAATGAGGCAAGATTGCATCACTGCACTCCAGCCTGGGTGACAGAGTAAGAGCCTGTCTCAAAACAAAAACAAAAACAAAAACAAAAAACCCATGAAAAAACAAAGAACAAAAAACAGCAAAGCTTCATTCTGCTCCCATCTCCTACCCTAGAGATGGAGAGAAAAGGCAGAGAGGCCAGCTCATCCTCCCCTCCCCTATCTTCCATGGCAGGACGAAGAGGGAAGAACAAAACCACGTGGGTATGGACTCGCTTCCTCATATCCCTTGTTCTTGGCTTCCACGGCAGGTTCACCTGTGCCACTCTGTGCTGAGTCTGCACTTCCAAGAGCGCTGCTCTCCGGAAGGTGAGCTCAGCACTGGGAGGCCAGATGGCCCAACGGTGGCCAGCTCATCTGAAATGGCATCCTCGGAGCATCCGATGTACATCTCACACCGAGATACACTGTGAGATAAGGCTCATTAGCAGCTCTCCCCGCCTCCCCACATCCCCGTACCTGCTGCAAAGCCACTTGGTGCTTGGGAGACTCTTAGGAGCCTCCCAATCTAGAAATTCTACCTGAATATGCTTCTTGCTGCAACAGTAAAACGCTGCTCTAAGGCCACATCAGGAGCCTCTAAGGGAAACCTTCTCCTGGGGTGATAATTAGACCTTTGTGGCACTGTTTACACAGTATTATTATCAGATTGCACGTTGATAAATGAGAAGTCTTTCAAAGGTTATTTCAAAAGCAAGTAGACAGTCCACACTTAGTAAGGCTAAGGCACTGGGATACCACGACAGCACTGAAAGAAGCGTTAACTAATTCATATCCCAAATGCCTAATTTAGGGATCTATTTATTCTTATTTTGTATGTACTTACTAAAAGAAAGCAGTGATCACTAGGACTTAGCAAAGGGCGCTAGAAACAAGCTATAGGGTATGTGTGTGTGTTTGTTAGCATATTAGTTAACAACCAGCTTAACGAAAGTCAAAGCATAATTTAGTTGCTACAAAGTTGGTACAGACCTGGGTTCCGATACTGCTCAGAACAAGGGATTCTCAGTGTGACTTCTCACCCCTACTAAGAAATGCCTCCCACCACGTGCAACCTGCTAATGGTCATCAATAGTAAGCAGGATCACTACCTGAGGTTTCCACTCTCCCAGTAACGGACCACACCAAGACAAAAACTGGAGAGACCCAGAGGGTGGGCTGGGACGTGTTCCCCAGCTCTAACCAGGTTAGACAGCCAAGCTCTCCCTCAATACAGAGGGCGTTCCTTCTCCCATGGGCTTGAGGAATGCTGAAATTAGTTCAACACATCTGATCAAAGCCACAACACACCTGTAATGTTGTCATAGCTCCGGAAATTCATTTCGATGTGGTCCCACTCCAGCACCATGCAGTTCTCCATGCTGGGCTGCGCGATGGCCACATACACATCGTTCTTGGAGTTGAACGTATCCACTGAAACCGACTGGTAGGGTAAAGTCTGATGAACAACAAAATCTGGGAACGGGTGTTTAAAAAGAAAAGCGTTCATAAAACCTCCTGCAGGAATTGTCAACCACCATCACCTTTCCATCATCACATCAGCTCTGAAAAGGACTGGGGAGGAGGAGGAGGACAGGAGAGAAGCAACACAAACATCACAGCGTATTTTACTCTGAGACACTCCAGAAAGAGTCCTGGCTTGTGCAGGACTATCAGACAGAATGCACAGCTTCTACTACAGCTTCCTGTGGAGAAATGGCTTCCCGAGTTTGACTAAAGGATCTGAGTTTTAAGCATATTTGGTGAGAATTGACTTTCAAAGTGGTAAGACAGACAGGACGTTGCACAGCAACATTCTCAAAACTGCAGTGCAAATCACGCTATGACAAGGTGGGGGCTGCGGTCCAGTGAGTTTGGAAAATGCTGTACTTCCAGCTCTCTCAGAACAGCCCTTGTAGGGAAGAAGTCTGCTTTGTTTTGTTTGATGTGGTGCTTCTCAAACTTACCTGACCCTTTATCTCCAGTTATAACCCCTAGCTTGGGATTACCTGTCAGCAGACAACCCCACTGCACGTTCAGAATGAATGGTACACTCCCCAAATGGCACACTGAACACTGGAAACCAAACCAAACCCTCTGCTACGGTCTCAGGGGTATTATGGTTCCTACCCACTTAGCCTAGCACAAAGTGAGTGCTCAATACATGTTACCTTTTAGAGGTGCCCCTCCCTTCATTCTGGGGGCAGAGTAGGTGCTTACTGAATACTTGTTGGCTAAACCAGTGTGAGGGGACTGGCTTTGCTTCTCAGCCCACTCTAAAGACTACAGGGAAGGACATGGAGGCTGAGTGGTACACGAAGATGTGGGTAGGAGGAGGAGAAAAGAAGAGGCTGCCTCTGCAGCCCAACAAGTAGGAGGTGACTGAGGGAGAGTGTGGACAAGTGACTCCAGTGGACGGGGTACCTTCCCATCCCCAAGTTGAGAGCAGAACATCCTGGTGAAGCGCTGGGGCTCGAAGGTAAGACAAACTGGGCTTCCAATTCTTGCCCTGCCAATTTTAGCTGCATGACCTTTGGCAAGACAATTGACCCTCAGGTTCTTTCTTCATCTGTAAAATGAAGGTGGTGTCTATTTCATAAGGTTACTGTAAGACTAAATCCAAGAGTACATGTAAGTATATCCTGCAGTGCTCTGGTGATCACTTAGTAGTTGATATATGCAACAATGATAGTATTCAGTTGCCTGCTTGAAGGCTTAGGGAAGAGTCATGGCTCCCCCTCATCCCGCCCCCCACCAAAATAATAATTGCTTGGTCAAAGATAAAAAAAACAAACAAACAACAACAAAAAAGAAAAAAGCAGAAAAAAGTGAACCTCTGTTCACTCCTGTTGAGCACTGGCAGAATGAGTGTAGAAGCCAGAAAGCGCGTGTTGACTGCACAAGGCTTTGCTGGTTTCTGTGTTCACACGTAGACAGAGAAAGGGGAAATGGCAGCAGTCATCATGTGCTCCCTTTTCTGGGGATATAAAAGGACTTGGAGAATACAGCTGCTTTCTTTTAATTACAACCAAGATGGCTATAAACTCCTCTCCTACATCTCCGGTTGCATTCGACTAATCCGAGTCTGCCAAAGGTTCTAGGCACTCCCGAGATGCCCGCCACTCACTCATCTCCTCCCTCCCATTAGCCTCCCTACTGCACTCTGAACTCACAGAAACATAAGTATTCGCTTTAAAAGGCAGGCTGTTTAAAGTGTAGACTAGAAAGTTTCTGGTTTTATTGAAGAATCCCAGGATGAAAAGGAGCTGTCACAGTGCAGAGCATTTTACAAATCTAGCCTTTCGTGGCCCTGTTTTAATCTATTTTCCCCACATAGTGGTTTCACAATATTTTCTATATACTATCTGGCATAACACAGATTGAATTACAAATCTAACTCTTGATAGAAGACACCCCCCCCCCAAAAAAAAGGGAGGAGAAGGAGGAAGAAGAGGAAGAGAAGGAAAAAAGAAGAATGGGGCCAGGCAAGATACACAAGATGGCTTGTGCCTGTAATCCCGGCAGCTTGGGAGGCCAAGGCAGGTGGACTGCTTGAGGCCAGGAGTTTGAGACCAGCCTAGCTAACATAGCAAGACCTTCTCTTTACTGAAAATTTAAAAAATTAGGCCGGGCGCCGTGGCTCAAGCCTGTAATCCCAGCACTTTGGGTGGCCGAGATGGGCGGATCACGGGGTCAGGAGATCGAGACCATCCTGGCTAACACGGTGAAACCCCATCTCTACTAAAAAATACAAAAAAACTAGCCGGGCGTGGTGGTGGGCGCCTGTAGTCCCAGCTACTCGGGAAGCTGAGGCAGGAGAATGGTGTAAACCCGGGAGGCAGAGCTTTCAGTGAGCTGAGATCCGGTCACTGCACTCCAGCCTGGGCGACAGAGCGAGACTCCATCTCAAAAAAAAAAAAAAAAAAATTAGCCAGGGGCCATCGTGCATGCCTGTAGTCCCAGCCGCTCTGGAAGCTGAGGTGGAAGGATCAATTGAGCACAGGAGTCTGAGGTTGCAGTAAGCTATGATTGTGCCACTGCACTTTAGCCTGGATGACAGAGCAAGACCTTGCCTCAAAAAAAAAAAAAGAGAGAGAATGAAAAGCAAATGGTTGATGCATATATGTTTGTGGATATCAGAGAGAGGACCAGAGGAATTTAAATATCTTCTCCCACCCCCAATTAAATTTACTTCTCACAAACAGCAAAAGCACATTCTTGTGGAAAGATCTTAGAAATACACATATTGATGTGACATCAATTTACTAGTGTTAAAATATTAATGGCACTCTGCAAAAAGAGCTGCCACTTCCATTCACACTGGATTAAGTTCATGATGTCAGTGGGACTCTTACAATTTAGGCCTTTCCCCCAGTGGAATCAACAGATTTTTACATGGCTATTTATAGCACTTGCAGAAAATAAATTATACATGACGCCGATCCTGCTGGGAGAGAAACTGCACATTAATGCATTATTTCTCTTTGCATTTTCATCAGCCCCGAAAAGGGGAAGCTAACAGGACAATTAGGATGCAAAATTCACTTCCTCTAAGGAATTTAGCGAATTACCCATCTAACACAGGGAATCATTGGTAGGTAACAGGGACTTTTGAGGTGGTTAAAAATAGACTTGAAGGGAAGGGTTCAAGAGCTGATTAAAGATCTGAAACAGCCCAATGTTGGCTTTGTGGTATGAATTACACGCGTTGGCCAAGGAACAGAATGGGGACAGTACCTTCCTCTCTCTGGGAAAAAACAGTGAGAGGAGAAAACTCACCCCTTTTCTGAAAATCTGAGTTGAAAAGGAAAACAACCGTACTTAGAAAATATGCTTCTTTCTAAACCTTTGGCAAGAATACGATCACTGTACCATGAACTCTCAAATTTGGCTTTCCATTTTCCATCCATCCTCATTTGCTGCCCCCACCCCACGCCCCTACTGCCCATCTAGCTTTTAATGAAGCAACAGAGGCTGAGGTTTGATCTGAACGGAAGATAATGAACCCCGAACACTCACAATTTGTTGACCTAGTTCTTACACATCAGGGCCTATATTTGGGGGTGGGTCACAACTTGATTGCACCATTTTTTTCCCGATGGAAGAAACTGTCAGCAAGAGCCTCATCTCTGTTTGTGAGTCTTAAAGGGATAAAACCATGGCAAAGCCAGAATTATCATCTCCCTCTCACCAGAAAGCCTAGCGCTGACTTTTTAAAGTTTAGGAGGAAGCTTGTTCATGAAGACAAACACTGCATAAGACAGAGAAGCCTCTAAAATGTGTTAAGGCCTCTTGCTGCTCCATGTTGGGATGAGGACAGGTTACCTCAGTTCCAAGCTACCACCATTCCAATAACAATTCTCAGAGCCTGGGTCACTTTTACAACCATCCCCAGGGCCCTAAGTTCAGAAAATATGTTTTCTTATAGAAATTATTTCCTATTCCCACGGCGCTCCAGCCCATTACTTCCATCAGAGGTTAGCAGAGTCTCTCCACGCTATGGCCAGGTGTGAAGAGAACAATGGAAAATCTGCAAATTTCACCTTAGCGTTTCGAGAACTCTCCAGAGAAAATGGAGAAAAGGTAGAGAGAAGTTCTCAGTGAGCTTTGGTTTAGCTTTGGCTTAATTTAATTTAGCATATAATGCCAAATAGTCTTGAATGCCACCTTTTGGTGCAAATGTTATCAACTACGACCGGTGATTTATTGCTCTGGCCCTAAAATACAATAAATTAACCTCCTAATGGCCTCAGCTGACTATGGAGCACCTGCCAATTACACAGCTGAAGAAGCCCCTATTCGATGATGAAAGAAAAAGTCATTTTTGTGAGATTTCAGGTTGTCTATCAGACAAGAATAGAACTTGCAGGGGTCCCTTATTTACAAACAAAGATACCTGGAAATGATTTTTACTTTGTGGGTTTTTGTTTATTTGTTGGACGGTGGTAGCAGGGACTGGCCTAAATGTGATATTTTGTTCTTGGAGTTTTGGTGTCTTTTGAATTTCTGTAACTATTTTCTGTTTCTCATTCCTGCTGCTTCTCCTGACATGACTTGAGACTTTGTAGATAGCAGCTCTCAGCCTGAATGTTTATTTTTATAAATCGGGTAAGCAGGTTTTCATACAGTGGCCTGATCCTCTCTCTGACTTTAGAAGCTGTAGAAACCCCATGTAAGCCTTTCCAATGGAGATACTCACCAGTACCTTTGGCCTCATGTTGTGACAGTGGAAGCAGTTAGTATATATGTAAGTATAGTTTAATTTTATCTTATAACCTGAAAAATGTATAAACTGAAAGCTTGTAGCAGGCCCTGGAAAACAAAATCAAACTTTCTTTACATTTTTCCGTTAACATGAGTTGTTTCCTTTTGATAACTAGTCATTAACTCTTATTTTCTATTTTGCCATTGGTTATAATTTACCTAGTTATCTCTTCTTACATGGGACTCTGAAAGTCATTTGTGGGTTTAAAGCTCTGGTGTTTGGGCCAGGCACAGTGGCTCACACCTGTAATCCCAGCACTTTGGGAGGCCGAGGTGGGCGGATGATGAGGTCAGGAGATCGAGACCATCCTGGCCAACAAGGTGAAACCCCGTCTCTACTAAAAATACAAAAATTAGCTGGGTGTGGTGGTGCACACCTGTAATCTCAGCTGCTTAGGAGGCTGAGGCAGGAGAATCGCTTGAACTCAGGAGGTGGAGGTTGCAGTGAGTCGAGATCACACTGCTGCACTCCAGCCTGGGTGACAGAGTGAGACTCCACCTCAAAAAAAAAAAAAAAAAAATCTGGTGTTTGTTAGTTAAATGTCCAGTGAACTTCATCTTCCTAAAGCAAGAGAACAGTCTCAACCGAGTAATTTAGGCCTCCCTGCACTGACCTTCTATGAAACCTAGATTGATGTGAAAACATTCTCTTGCCAAACCCACAAGTTTATACTTTGACTTAAGAAAATGAAACCCTTAGAGAAATTTGAATTTTGCAAAGAAGCAAAATTAAAGCCAGGGCAGTTAACAAAAACTCTCCCAAACTTTCGAGATGTTTTCCTTACCACATCAATTCATTTCTTTAGAATGTTTAAAATTTCTCTAGAACAATTTTGATAAACAGTTCTATATTCACCTTTCCCCACTCTCTGTTGACAGTCTAAAAGAAAGACAAAGAGATTATTCTAGATATCCATGTCTGATGAGATAGGCTCTGAATACCTGTAGTTGTGCATTCATAGTCAAAGCTGGTCACATCATTCAGCTTCTTTTCCTGATACTCTGGTGGACCACTACACAGCACGTCGGAAACAGTGGAATTTGTCATCTTCAACCACAGGTATAGCCACTTGGCTTTGCAGTCACATTCAAATTTATTACCCCTTAAATCTCTAAAAATCAAAATAAAGCACAAACACATAGACGTGTCTGACATGTTTTGGTAGTAACACGAAACTCCAGAATTATTAACATCCTGATATATTTAAAATCCGTTAAAATGGAGTTCAAAAAATTTTGTATATAATGCCTCCTGTTTCTTGTATCTATCACTGACTTTATTTAATACTCCTCAGCACCCGGGAATTTAACTGCATAACTATATAACGTCCAGAGAGCTCTCAGCGAGGACATATCATCTCTCTAGATGCTCTTGTCTCCACGCCATGCTGGAAATGGGAGACGTGTGATAGAAGAGCAGCCCCCAACAGAGGTTCTCATCAACATAAAGAGGATATTGTAGGAAGATAGTTTTCACAAACACAATTGAAACTTCAAGCTCTTGTTAAAACTACATCCAGTAGGTTGGGCACGGTGGCTCATGCTTGTAATCATAGCACTTTGGGAAGCCAAGGTGGGCAGATCACCTGAGGTTAGGAGTTCAAGACTAGCCTGGCCAACATGGTGAAACCCTGTCTCTACTAAAAACAAAAATTAGCTGGGGGCAGTGGCATGCGCCTGTAGTCCCAACTACTCAGGAGGCTGAGGCAGGAGAATCGCTTGAACCCAAGAGGCAGAGGTTGCAGTGAGCCGAGATCATGCCGCTTCACTCCAGCCTGGGCAACAGAGCGAGACTCCATCTAAAAAACAAAAACAAAACTATATCCAGTAAGAAGCAATGCTAGAAGATAAAGCAGGTGAACGCGCCATCTCAAGGAGGGGACCTCCCACCCAGCAAGTGCATTTTACCATTGGCCTCATGGTGCTAAGTATAAAATGGCAAAATCCAACACAACACAAACTGTATGCTATTTCCCAGGATGCACTACTTTCTTATAGATTTTTAGGCACAGCATAAAAGAAATGCATAAAAGAAAGGTAAGAGGGGATTGAAAGACATGATTAACTGGGGCACAATGACAAGAACACATAAACTAAATTTCATTACTTACAGTTCAATCAGAGAGTCTAAATCACTGAAGACATCCCTTGGTAGTGCTTTTATGTGGTTATTGGCCAAAGAACTAGAACAAGAAAGTCACATTGCGATGCAGTTATTATCTCATACCCTGTCACTCTCAATTCCCTTCAGATAAAGCTATTGTCTTACAGCACAGCTTTGGTCATCAATACTGAGATAGAGCTTAGTTATGCAAAGATAACATAAGATATGCTGGATTATAATATACATTTTCTTTTTTTTTTTCTACAAAAAGCACTTTTTAAGCTCTTTATGTATATTTGCTCAACCTCAGATGGCTTCCCATGCTTCTTAGAATCAAAGCCAAAGTTCCTTCGGTGGCATGCAAGACCCTTTATTGCCTGGCTACCTCCACTCTTGCTTACCTAGGAGACCCCATGTCATCGGTCTCCAACTACTCAATGGATCTCTGATCCAGCCACACTGGCCTCCTTGCTATGCCTCCAACAGGTGAGGCATGCTCCTACCCTCCAGGCCTCTGAACTTGGTCATCTGCCTGGAATGTTCTTTCCCCAGCTATCCATTTGGCATTCCATTGCTTCCTTTGGGTCTGTCCTCAAGTATCACCACCTTCTCAGGCCTCTGCACACCTCCCTTCCCTGCACCGCCATCATTTGGCACACTGCATATTTTAATTATCTATTTGTTTACTGGCTGTGTATTCTCCCTCTACATAAGCCACATGAGGAAAGAGATTATTATCTGTCTGTCCACTGCTGTATCCCCAGTTCCTAGAACAGTGCCTGGGACACAGCAGGTACTCAGTATATCTTTGCTGAATGAATGTATTAAGCACCAAAGTGAGAGTGATAAAAGAAGATTTACAGTCTTGTCCCAAGAAGTTCCCTAATGGTCCATCTGAGTGAATTCTATTACTTGTGACTCTAAGAAAGGACTCAGTAAATACTCCTTTACGTAAAGACACTCGGCTCTAACCTTTAAGAATAAAGGTTAGAGCTGTAGAGAATGATTGACTATGATCAATTTCATTTTCACATTAATAAAGGTTGACCCAAAACCATTTTGCTTTTGCTCGTGAGGTTAAAGATCATTCTAAGACGTCTTAGTCCACACCCCACCTCCAGGAAATAGACTAGAAGGCACAGCATCAACTCTTTGTCTGATGATTCAGGATTTTGCAGTGCCCTGTCATCATCCTGTGAAGATGAATGTCCACGGTGCAGGGCTGTTGATGTAGAAAGACGCGGAGTGTTGAAATGATGTACACTGAGTTTGTGATTTCCCCAGGCACTGCACTCTAATGTGAGTCAGCCAAGAAACTGATGCCTACTTTTGTTTTCTTTTACATATATGAATGCAAACAGCCAAACATATAAATGACAAACATGTAAGCAATTCAGCCCCAACCTATTTAAGATATCTATGAAATGCATCTTCTGTATCATCATAATGACCCATCCCAGAAAGATGAATTAAAGAAATGAGTCTTCCTACCTAGAGTCAGTTAGCTGGGCACAGTAGAAAGCTTGGAGCTCAAACATTCTTGCTTCAAGGCACCAACTGAATATAGGGAGACCCATAGTTTCTGAATTATGCCCCTTTCCATCTGGGTAGCCACAAATGGATTTAAATAAAGTTTCATGTACTCTTTTGCCTTTCTTTTCTAAATGATGTATTTGTACATTTTTAACTGTGTTGGAAAATAGGCTGAATATGTAAACAGACTGAAGCTACTCTGAAAGAGCTTTTGGAAATTTTTTAAAGGGGGGTGTTCATTTTGATTTTTTTTTTCTTGGTCGATGGTCACTTTTTCTGGAAAGTAAAGTACAATGTTTTAGGTAATTAACATTATTAGCTAAAAACTTCAGCTAATTGAAAGTTATTGTATTGATATGATAAGTATACACAGAATGGTCAAAGCCAAAAAAAAAAAAAAAAAGCAGAGTGTTTAGCAACGTTCCAAATGTTCAATTTAGATTTCAGAAAGCACAATTATTTAGATGGGCTATTCACCCCACTCACACTAAGTGCTTAACACCTGCCTTTCCACTTCATTTTGCCTACAAATCATGGTACTTACTTTATTTCTAAAACTACTTAACAGCTCCCTGTCCCTTGGGCTTCATGGGACTGCTGGAAACAAATGTTCTAGATTTTAGTTACAGATTGGCACAGCTCCTTCAATGCTTTGAAACCTGATCTATGTCTCTTTTCCTATGCATGTGAGTCTGTAAGCATTGGAAAAGTTCATAAAAGATAAAAATCAGCTGCTTAACTTCAACAAGCAAATTCCAAATAGGAACTTCCGTAAGCACGGGGGTGAACTTTAGAGACTTGGTATCTTCTCTTTGCTTAGAGGTTTTTAAAAGGGGAGGGAGGTGAATTGATTCATTCTTTAAACAATATATTAAATTATTGAATTACTAAATACATCTCCAGCCTAGAGGAGTCAACGTTAAAAGTCGCCTGGTCGGGCACGATGGCTCACACCTGTAATCCTAGCACTTTGGGAGGCCGAGGCAGGCAGATCATGAGGTCAGGAGATCGAGACCATCCCAGCTAACATGGTGAAACTCCGCTCTAAATAAAAATACTAAAAAATTAGCCGGGCGTGTGAACGTGCCTCTAGTCCCAGCAGCTACTCGGGAGGCTGGAGGCATGGAGAATCGCTTGAAACTCGGGAGGTCAGAGGTGCGTGAGCTGAGATCAACGCCACTGCACTCCCAGCCCGGGTGACATGAGTGAGACTCCATCTCAAAAAAAAAAAAAAAAGAAAGAAATTCACCTGACTTGTCCAGAAGCAGAGCACATAGGGAAATCCAATTCCATTAAGAAGCCATCCATCGGCCGGGACACGTGGCTCAAGCCTGTAATCCCAGAACTTGGGAGGCCGAGACGGGTGGATCACGAGGTCAGGAGATCGAGACCATCCTGGCTAACACGGTGAAACCCTGTCTCACTAAAAAAAATACAAAAAAACTAGCCGGGCGAGATGGTGGGCACCTGTAGTCCCAGCTACTCGGGAGGCTGAGGCAGGAGAATGGCATGAACACGGGAGGCGGAGCTTGCAGTGAGCTGAGATCCGGCCACTGCACTCCAGCCTGGGCGACAGAGCGAGACTCCATCTCAAAAAAAAAAAAAAAAAAGAGAAGCCACCATCAATTAGCAATCAGAAAGTACGTCCTGCTGGGTTAGCCCTGCGCTAGACACTGGGGAAGAACAGAGCTAAGGGCAGATCACTAAAAGTCCTGCCCTCCAGGAGCTTCCAATGTGCTGGGAGATAAAACGAACATCCAGGCAACAGCACCAACCAGTATGGTCACTGTAGACAGTAAATACTGGCTGCATGAAGCCAATGACAGGAGTGAAGAGGAAGATGGAGAAATGGCTTAACTGAGAATTAATTTGGACTTCGAATGAAAAGGCAGATGCCAAGAGACCAAGGGCGGAAGAAACAGCTTCCCAGGCAAGGGAGAGGATATGAGGAAAAGCAGTGGGATGAGGTGGGAAAGCACTGAGAGCTTGATGTTCTGAAGACACTCAGAGAAATAAGGTTAGAGAGCTGAAGAGGGGCTTGACTTGTAGGCTTGACAGCAGGGTGGTCCTACTCACTGGGATGAGCTGGTTCTTCTCTAATGCATTCTGTGCTCTCTGGACCCAAGTGCAGGACTCCCTCGCTCCCTCTGTGTTTGTGTTCTCTGTACATACCACAGAAAAGGAGGTGCCTCTTGCACACATGTATGCATGATAACACATGAAACAAACGCATAAGCATGCACAGACGAACACAGTTATGTACACTCATGTATATAAGTCCATGCATCCAAGGATACTTTGTACACCTGCACAAAGATATGCAAATACCCATACATGATACCTGCTTGTTCACACCCTCCTGCTTATGGCCATCTGAGCAAATGAAAGTTGCCATCTGGACTAACTCAGCCCGTCACATGGGCTTTGGGTTTATAATCTGCCCAGAGCTTTTGCTCAAATACAAAGCCCTAATTCCTGACTTCTGGGAACCAGGCTCATCTGGCCACAGCTGTTCCTCTTCAGACACCCACAGCTGTCTCCTTAGCAGACTCTGTCTGGCCACCCAAACTGCCAAAGATACTTGAGGGGTCATGGAGGAAATTGGGACTTCTTAATGCGTGGAGGGAAGGAATGATGATGATGATGATGATGATGATGATGATGATGATGCCAACTATGCCTTGAGCATTTACCATGGGTAATGGGCTAGATGCTTTGCAAGCAGGCATTAACCCTTTATGTACAGCGATCCTATGAAATCAGTATAGTTATCCCTATTTTATGGAGGAGGAAATTGATCTCAGAAAGTTAAGCAATATTAATAAATCATGGCCTTGAGATTTAAACTCAAGCCTACATGACTCCAAGCCCACAACTGTAGCCTCTACAGGAATCTGGGGATTTCACACTTAGGTTGAATCTGAAAAACAATGAAGGCTTTTATAGGACGAAATGAAGACCTAGGACATTCTCCAGTACCAACTATGCTGACACAGAAGTTTGGGCTTCCCACGTCTGCGCCCTCATCTCCTTACCCCATAGGCTTTAACTTAAGCAGAGCCTCTACTTGTGGGCGTTCCAGAATCAAGTGCTTGCTAGGCCTATTGACAAACCCCTTGGCCAATATCGGGGCTTGATGTGAATGGTTTCCTCATTAGATGACTATGTCCACACTGTACCAGTCAGGGTTACACACGCTGAAGGTACTACCATCCCTGCCCAACACTTCCAGTCAAAACCCTCCAGTTTTCCCAACTGTCTTGATGGCAGGCAGGCTGACTACAGAGATGAGACATGTTATCTTACTCAAACTCAAAATACCTATCATGCAAATGGGACCTGGTTCCTGGCTAACGAATTGCTCCTACCAAGACAACGAGTATTTTTACATTTTCATAAACACAGCCACTATTTTTTCTAGTTTTACAAATTTTATACATTTGCTAAGTGTGTGTACTTGCTTCATTTTCATATGCCAATTTCAAATCAATTTCTTTAATTTTATCTCTAGAAAGCTCTTAAAGAACCAGAGAGCTTAGTTGAAACCACAGATTAATCCAACATAAAAGAAAAAGTGATTTGCATTCAAATGAGAGGAACCATGAAAATGTCTCTATTCCACTTTATCCTAATTCTGATTCAACATTCCACCTAGTCATCTAAGACTTGGTTCCAAAAATCTGTAAAATGGGGACTCACAGATTATTATGAAAGATGAAGAAGAGAAGGCTCACTAAGCACCCAGCCCTGTGCCTGGTGCCAAGCAAGTATAAGACTCACAATAATTTCCTTCCCGGCTGGGCGCAGTGGCTCATGCCTGTAATCCCAGCACTCTGGGAGGCCTTGGCAGGTGGATCACTTGAGATCAGGAGTTCAAGACCAGCCTGGCCAACATAGCGAGGCCCGGTCTCTACTAAAAATACAAAAATTAGTCAGGTGTGGTGGTATGTACCTGTAATCCCAGCTACTCGGGAGGCTGGGGCATGAGAATGGCTTGAACCCAGGAGGCGGAGGCTGCAGTGAGCCGAGATCACGCCACTGCACTCCAGCCTGGGCGACAGAGTGAGACTCTGCCTAAAAAAAAAAGAAATTTCTTCCCATCTCCTCCATCAGGCAACACAAGTCCCTCACACCCCAGGTTGCTCCTTAATTCCCACACAGTCGTGTGGTCTATAACTGCAATTCAGGTTGATAGAGATGATAATAAGACAAGTATGTGAGTACTCACAATGAGCCAGTATCTGATTGACAACATAGAAACCTCTTAAGTAATCTAGAAATTCGTTTCCTTCGGGGACTCTTACAGCCAAGAAACAGAGAGGCTCCAGGAAACGAATCTTACGCCACATATTAGAGGACTTACAATACTTTCCATAGGACTTACAGGTGAGTCAGGTCACGGAGGCCCCGAAAGGCATTTCTTGAAATGGTTTCTATTTTGTTCCCTTCGATGAACCTAAGAGGAAAAGTTGTATAATTAAAATGAATTTTCTCTCCTTAGTATCTCCAAAAAAACTATGTTGGTAAGATTTCAGAATAAAATCTGAAAGCATTCCTGAATTATAAGAATTGATCTCTGAAGACTAGGTCAGCTACACCAAATTACATGTGGTAGCAGTATGTATGCAAAAACGCATGCATGTGAGTGTGTGGTCTGTACTCCTTCCAGAAGCAGCATGGAAGTCTTCGAAGAATTCTGAGCTGGCAACATGGGTAAAAACATCTTGGGGAGAAATAAAGAAGAAAGCACTATACAAAGGCAAGAAATTCTCATATCTCTATAAGACTGGAGCACTTCCAGACATTTTCCCTACTCAATCCCACATTTCATGGTGCCTGGCCATTCATACTTCTGTTCATGTCACTGTCCCTTGAGGGGGTTCCCTTGTTTTACATCTCCATACTAAAGTTTTTTGCTGGGGGAGAGTTCTGTCAAGCTTGGTTTTCAGCAACCTTGAGTCTATCGTGTCCTACACCATCTAATCACCAAGCAAATGGGTGACAAGGCAGGAAAAGCTCAAGCTCTCTAAGCCACTAGGAAGTAGGAAGTACAATGAAGTTGAGTAGGGACCAAACTTCTTTCTCTGTACCAAAACCCCACAGGGTTTTCTCATGGGATCTTGTAATATTACCACTGGCCATGCTTTAAGGTCTTTGTGGGAAAGAGTTGATGTGAATTCACTATGACTATTCTCTAGGCCCAGGGAGAACTAAATTTTAGTTTACAGCATCATATTAAGTCAAATGTAAGAGGGTCTTTGATGAGATGCTCCATGGGTGGCGCTTTGTAACACAGCATCATCAATGAATTAGTTCTTGATTCTTGCACTGAAAACTCACTGATGGTTTTTAAAAGTGAGGTGTTTTTTCAGTAATACACTTCAGCATAAACTGATGAGCTGAGCCAACTTCTTCTCCAATAACCTTGATCATAAGATGAACTACCGTAAGAGAAAACTCATAGCTTTACAACTGCTACCTCCATTGGGTATGTATGTGCTTTGATAGACCCTAGTCAGATTTAGCATTGCAGTCCTGCTACACTTTCCATACTATGCATATGATGATATCAGAGTATTATGCGAATACATATATTATGTATACTCTGGAGAAAGAATTCCTCCAGGGACAACTTTCCTCAAGACACAAAGTCAGCAGAGAGATTTCTTATATCTGGGATGTGTCTAGAATTCCAATACCTACCTGTTGAACTCAGACAAGATAATGAGACAAGGCTTTAAAAATCCCTCTGAATGCTAAGTGAGGAAATCCCATCTGATAGCAGGATTAACATTATTACAAAGTTACCAAAGACAAGGATGAAAGAACTTAAAGGGGAAAAAAGACATGAAAGGAAGAAAAGGCAGAAATCAGAAAAAGAGGAAAGCTCATTGTGAGGGAAAAAACCTGCACATCAAAAAAGGGGAAAAGGACCTTTTTTTAAGGAAAAAAATAAAATGAAATTAGACCCTTGGTAGCAATTTACAGGAGATACCGCAAAAGAGATGTAGGACAGTGAATGAACAACATGAAGTTGTACCCCCCAAACAGGGAGGCTTTCTTAAAAGTAAGTAACCCTCAGAACCCTGCAGCTCTATTTCTGGCTGATCAGCAAATCCATGCTGATTTGCTCGTTACTTATGAGAAGTAAAAATACCCAGTGCAACTTCCAATTGTGCTTACTACATGACAAATTAAATGTCAGCAAAGAATGAATATCTCTCCTTCTTTGTTTTGTCGCTCCCTCTTTGTCTCCAGCCTCCTCCTTCCCCAGCATGTTTGTAAGCAAGTAAACTACAGAAGGTCAGTGCTGAAAAGAGAATGGGGTGTTCTCCATTTTCTCCACCCCTAAACCCTCGCAGAGATGCTGTTCCAGCACAGAAACCAATCCAGAAATTCTACCAAGATACCAAATGTTCAGCACATAGACAAAGCACAAAACTTACAGGTATTCAAGATGGAAAAGTCCAGCGAAAGCGTCATCCCGGATGATCGTGAATGAGTTAGAATTCAGCAATCTGAAAGTAAGAGACAGATTCCAATGCAGAGATGTAAAACTCGAGTCACATGGTGAAGCCATTTCTATTTCCTTTGCTACATTTTGATCTGTGGGCAAACATGAGCTCTTCTTAGTCTAAGGAGAATCCATTTGGTTGTAAGAAACCTGATTTTCACAGCCTGCTCTTAGAGATGATGGCAAGTAGATTCCTTTTGACCAGATTTTCTTGTCATCTCCAGAACTCTACTCCTTTTGTCCCTATGTGTCTCAGTAAATACGGACCTGATAGCTATTACTTTAAAACATTATAATGCTCAGCACGACTAAACAGTCAGTGAATGCTTTATGGTACACAAGCAATCATAAAATTAGAGATCTAAAAAGATCTAATCCAAATCTATTTTTAGGAAAATATAAGCCCAGAGAAGCTAAGTGATTTGACCAAAGTCACACAGCTGGGACCAAGAAAAAACAAAAATCAAAAAAACTTTTTCTACTGTATTATACACTCCCATAAAAATAGTTTTTTTAAAAAAAAGTTTGCTTAAGAAACTTTCAGAAGACTGTCACTACGTAGTTTTCTATTTGAGTCATCACCCAAGTCTACTGGTAAAAGAATACCTAAAATTGTATTTCTATTATATGAAAAGTATATTTTAATAGCACTGCCATTTCTAAGAGGCCTCAGATTTTAAAATGTTAAGTATAATGTTAAAAGTAGGCATATAACATTTCAAGAACAAAAGTATCAAGAGTATGTTTATTTAGGATGAATTGTGATCTCCTATATTCCATTTACCCAAATTTTTCTAGATTTAAAAACAAGCACATTGCTTGTTTTAATTTCAATCTCATCTCAAATTTAAGAAACCAACATAGATCAAGAGAATGAAGTGTGTACTCATACTTTGCCTGTCACTGGTTTGCTGTTGAAAACTGCTTTTTGGACATTTCTTTTCATCAGCAAACATTACCCAGCCTGCGTTACAGGGCACGACACGAGCATCACCACAGTGACTTGAACATCGCTCACAGAGAGGAGCTGGGATGAGGAATAGTTACGAGTGTGGGCTTTTGGCCCTGGACTAGAATCCTGGCTGTGATTTGGGGCAAGTTAGTTAACTTCCCTGAGCCTCAGTTTCCTTATCTATCAAATGGGATCATAAGCATGCCTTCATCCTACGGATGATGTGATGATGAAATAAAATTATGCAGATAAGTTCACAGGATGCTGCCTGACTGGTTTAAGTTCTCAGCAAACTAAAAACACTCCTATTTCCAGAGTAACAGTAAGATTTTAAAATGAAGTTTTCTTTAAACTGAGGTGTTTGGGAAACAGTGCATTTAGGTGACGCAGGTCATGAGTCAATGCAATTACCTCCCCATTTACTAGATGTGGGTGTTGGGATCTACAATAAAGTCTTTGAAGAAAACAAGTATCCAACTAAGGAAAGAAAGCTGAGCAGAGAGCCTCAGTGCTTTGCTGGGGACATCACAGGGTGAATTAACACCATGAGGCAGCCATGGTCTCTTCCCAGAGCTGGGGTACTTTAGGAAGGGCTGATACCAAAGGGGCAGAGACAGCAGTTCAAGGATGGCACCGCAGGGCCCCCACTGTGCAGAGGGAACTTCCCATACTCACAGCAGCTGCAGGGAAGGCAGATGAGAAAACATTCGGTCCTTGATTTCTGAAAACGTCCCATTTACCAGGCTCCTATGGGCAAAAGATGAACAAAAGTAGGCCTAGGTTTCTTTCAGGAAGTGCCAGGCAGGGTGGGGGATCGACCTCTGCCTCCGCCCGTACTTCAAACCCTGACTCTCAGGAGTGAGGCGTGTAGCACAGTTGCCCAGGATCTTCCCCGGGGTAGGAACGAGGAGACAAGCCACTTCCCAATGAATCAGATCAATATGATAACTGGTCTGAATAACAGAAACCTTTCCCATCAGCTCCTTCCACAGACATTATCTCGGGCAGTTTAAATCAATCCCTTCACTTCCTTTTCTTAACTACAGGAGGCCCTTGCCTGAAAATGGATAATCGCTTCACCTCTGCCCATGATTCTGTTTGTGTAGACACAGCGTTACTGTTGGCCTACGAAACGCTGGGGTAGGATTAAGCACTCCTCTTGGGAGCCCATCTCTGAAAGACAGTCAGAGCCCTTCTGATTAAATGCACCATGAAAGCCCTGGGGAAAAACTCACAGACACCTGAACTCCCCTGTGTGGGGCGAGACAGCGCCATCTGCCAAATAAAACGGTCAACCGGGGGCAAGATGCTTGGCTTTATTTCTGCCCCCAGGCCCCCTATCCTTTCTGGCCACAGCAGGATCTGAATATATTATTTCAGAATTCCTTTCAGTTCGCATGCAGGTCAATTAAGCAGCTGCTGGTCTGAAGGATTTAATAAGGGGAACTCTAATTTCTGGAATCCTCCATGTCACCCGACTTGGCAATATTAAGAATCAAAAATGTCCTCTGTTCCCACCAGCCAAACTCTTCTGACTTTCTATAAGTGCAAACGGGAACCCCCTCACTCCTGGGTCCAGGCCCCTACAATTTGCCTTGGGTGGGAGGCTGGGGAGCGTTGGACACAAGAAAGTATCTTGGGCACAAGCAACGTCACCTCGGGGATTCCCTGCCTCCACCACCGAATGGGCACCCAGACATCTTGGCCTGGAACAAGAGAGTGGTCCTAGCAGTAAAGATAAAGCCCAACAGCCCCTTCCACCGCCCTTATGAGAGCTGGTCATTTGGCTTGAGTGGCCAGGTGAGGGCAGGGTGAAAGCACCTCGGCAGGTGGCTACGTCATGTGAAGCCCTTTCCTGTCAGTTCTTCCTGCTGAAAAATGCGGCCGACACAACTGTGTGATGGAGAAAGGGGGCAAGAAGCCCTCCTGACCTCAGGGCAAGAAGAAAAGCTGATTTCAAAGCACTTGGTCACTGGGCTAGGCGCCCGACATGCCCCAAACCTCTGCCAAGCCTTCTGTGACCTCTCTTCCAGGCCACGTGGGGCGGACCCTCGGGCTCCCAGAGCCTGCATGCTTTGACCTCGGCCTTTTGTAACCTGCAACGTGGAGAAGTCGGGTGGAGGCCACGGGCTGAACATTCGCCCCAGACCTGATGTGGGGCAGTAAGGCCTCACCCTTCCCAGTTTGCACTCAATCAGGTCGTGTTCAGCTGCTCCTGTGCACGCCCCTGCACACACAACTTCAACCCGCAAACACACACACACATACACACACACCCTCTCAAACTTTAATGCACCCCTGAGTCTCCCGGGGACGTCAAACGCACACTCCAGGACTCCACTCCAAAGACTGCTTCAGAGCAGCGAGATTCTGCATTGGCACAAGCTTCCCCAGGTGAGTCTGATGCAGGTGGCCCGTGGGCCACACTCTGAAAAATACTGCCACTGGGACTTGTCTGGTTTCCAGATTCTGGGGCTCAAGTTCTCACCATCCTCCCCGGGGCCAACACTCCACCCACGTCCCCCACCCAAAGGCAAACAAGGGGCCTGGGGAGTGGGTCAGGGTTGCACTGCCCCGGCGCCAGAAGCAACTCCCTCGCGGCAGCGGACGCAGGGTGGGGCGGGGCGGGATGGGGGCTGGAGGGGTCCCACTCACAGGGAGCTGATGTCGCCCGGCACGATCCTGGGCACCCAGGAAGAGCCCACGCAGATGATGGACTCCTTGGTACAGCTGCAAGTGGCGGGGCAGCGCGCCAGCCGCCTCACCTGCGCGCTCCGCGGGATCAGGCACGCGGCGCCCAGCAGCAGCAGCAGCAGCCCAAGCGCCCCGCCGCCGCCTCTCCGCAGCGCCATGCCCAGTCCCGGCTCCCCGCCCGGGCCCCGACCCCCACCGTCGCGCAGCGCGCTCGGACCCGGCGCCGCTGCAGACGCGGGCGCCTCTCGCTGCTCTGCCGCCGCCGCTGCTGGTGAGGACGAGGGCGCCGCGGGTGTGGGAGGCCGAGCCGCAGCCGAGCAGCATGCTGGCCGCCACCCCCACTCGGCGCCCCCCCACCTGAGCCCGGGCTGCTGGGCGGCCGCCGCCGCTGCGCCCGCCGCACTCGCGCCTGCCTGACATCAGCACTCGCGCCCGCAGCCCGGCTCTGGCCAATGAATAATGCATGGCGGGGCCCGCCCCGCGGGGGAGGGGGTCAGCGCCGCCCCCATGGCGCCCCACCCGGCCACCACCTCGCCACCCCCTCCCGCCCCGGGCCGGGCGCGGGGACAGAGGGAAAAGTTGGATGACCTTGGGGGAGGGGCCAAACCCAGCGGAGACCCCCGTCGGGGCCTGGCTGAGCGGTGGAGGATCCGATGCCTGCAATCCCTCCAGGGGTATAATCTGGGGAGGGCACTGGGTTCCCTTCAGGCAAATAATGAATAAAGTCGGAGCGGGGAGTGTGGAGAACCGGCTTGATTACTGGGGAGGGAGGCAGCCCTAGGTGCTTTGAAGAGGAGAGACTTTTGAGCAGCCTTTAATAATTTTGAAGTGCATGCTGCCAGTGGAGTCAGCAGGGATGTCTTTGCTTGCCTTCTGCGGTGGGGCAGTGAGGTCTGGCTCCCATTTCCACAGCACCAGGAGTTACTGAAGCCAGCCAGCCTTCCCCATAGGAGGAACGTGGGGAAGCAAAGCCGCTGCAGCCTGCACGCCTGGCGCTCTGGGCCCTGCCTGCTGCCTGCTAAAGAGCTGGAAAGCCCCGGAAAGTTTCCCCTTGCTCAGCTGCCCACGGGCCACCCCACCCGCCCCAGTCAGAGGAGGGTTAGTAGAAATTGAGGGTGTGATACATCCTAGTCACTGTGATTTTAATCTCCTAACCCTTTGAGGCAGGTCCTGCTTGTATCCTTAATTTACTGATGAGGCTGCTGACGTCCAGAAAGCATCCTGACTGGCTGGTGGTCCAGCAGCTCCTGGCTGGGCAGGATGGGGCTCGGAGCCTTGAAGGACCACATTAACCGGGCCCTCCTGAGCCCCTCTTCATCTCCTTAAGTTTGAAGCAATGAGCTGAAATCTTAACACAGGTAGTGTGCGGCTGAGGAAATCAAAGAAAATGGCTAAAGCAGAAGCAAAAGAATGTCTAATAGCCTGAACTGCTCGGAGAAGGGAATCACAGCACCACTGTCCAGCTGCAAACCAAAGAAAAGCATTGCGGATGCTAAAACCTACTCTGAAAAGGCAGTATCCAATGCAAAAATAGGAATCATACTATTGCTTCTTCAGCAATTACTGTTGGTGATCCGCTGACAAGATCCATGAGGACAGTATCAGGCTGGCTGCTGTGGGAGGGAACAAAGGAACAGCTCCTGTTTTCAGGGAGCTTAAAGTCTAGCTGGACAGACAAACCTAAAAGAGTAACTACACCGGCTACATGGGGGTCACAGAGTGACCAAAAGAGGTTCAGGAATTGAAAGCGAGCTTTGCGTAGGCAACTTCATGGAGGGAGTTAGACATTCCCTGCTGGTGGCCATGTATCCAGTACCTGGCATCAGTGCAAATCAGACTGCATTTATAATCATTTAATTCTTGCATCTGTCCCGAGAAATGGGTCCTCCCATTTTATGGATGGGAACATTGAGCTCAGAGGAGTTTTTATCTTGCCCAAGGTCACACAAGACATGGCCGGGGGGATCATACTCCACAACTGGCTGCTGTGTCTAACCCTCGCTGCTGTGTGGGCATGCATTTCACAAATACTTTACTCAGCAAGCCCCAGTGCTAGGTGCTGAGGACACAGACCACAGCCTGGGGAGGGCGACAGACATGCAGACCCACAATCATGGATGTGTGTGCTGCGCACCTGAAAGACGTTTGCCTTAAGAGGGACGGGCTACTGCTCTATAGAGCAGAGGACGGGAGGCTTCTCAAACACAGCACTCCCTGCTGACTCAGGAAAAGAAAATCTATTTCTCACCTGTGAGTGAGAGCCAGGGGTGACAGGGCGGCGTAGCTAAATGCTGGCCCCAGGACTAGACCAGTTGGTTTGCATCCCAGCCTGCCACTTACTGCTGTGTAAATGTGTAATCCCAGCCTGCCACTTACTGCTGTGCACGTTGTGATCTTTCTAAACCTCAATTTCCTCAGCTGTAAACAAGAGGTTGTTGTAACCATGTTTGGGGGTTAAATGAGATCGAGAAAGTAAAGCACTTAGTACCACAAAGGAGGCACTGGGCGTTTGAGCAGAGTTCTATGTGACTAGATTGTAGGGAAGTGACGGGGAGAGGACTATGGAGGGAGATGGGTTTTCCTGACTTCTGTGCTTCCATTGTAATCAAAGTCAGAGTCACCGTCTTGTATTGTGGTTCTCAATTGCGGATAATTCAGGGGACACTTGGCCATGTCTGGAGATATTTGGGGTGGGTGCCCCTGGCGTCTAATGTGTAGAGGTTGAGGACGCTACTAAATATCTTGCAGTACTCAGCAAGAACGATCCAGGCCAAAATGTTGCTAGAGCCAAGGTTGAGAGAGCCCGGCTTAGTGTTCTGGAAAGACCCTTGGCATGAGGAATTCCAGAGAAGCAGATGGTAAGCCAGGTTCATCAATCACAAGCAAACCTTCTTGGTTATGTTAGTCCCATCTCTAGCTCCTATTTTTTTCATCTATAAAATGGGGATAAAGAGCCCTTCTGTACCTTTTCCTAAATAAATGTGACATATCATCATTGTTACTAACCTTAACTTCCCCAAGCTAGGGCTAGCTCCAGCCCACCCTCTCCAACCCAAAAACCTAAAAATTTCCTGATAGGAGTGGTGCAGAGGGTAGGCTGGAGTAGCATAGCTGGCAGAGTTAGTATTTGTTTCGGCTCTGCTAGAGACACTAAGTAAGTGAGTGCTTGTAAATTATAAGGCGCAGTTTATAAATTAAAATATAAAAATGGAAATGCAGATTACTTTGGTGGTGTTCCAAGTTCCTCAGCAGTTTAAATAAAAAAAACTTAATAGACAATCAGAGAGACACAATCTGTTTCAGGAAATAGCAAGAGTTTTTGAAAATGTAAAAATCCTTCTTCAGATGTACACTTTCTCAAGCTATGTCTTTATAACATGAATAACACACGTTCCTACAGTGGCTGAAACGGTGCTGGCTGGAGTGGCCTTCTCTAAAGTCTCAAACAGGTTCTACTTTATATGATTGCATGTGTTGGCAGCTCAAAATGGCATTCATTCATGCATTCATGTACCCTCATGTTCAGTTACTTGTCAGTTCATTCTGTCAGTATTAACTGAGAACCTACTATGTGCTGTGCATCCATAATAAAACAATGGGCAAGACAGATATGATCCCCACCTTCATTGCAGACAGATATTAAATTAAAAGAATGCGTAAATGAGTAAGCAATTGCAAATTTTGATAGAGCCTATGAAGAAGAGAAGAGGGGAGACCTAATTTAGGTGTGTATTAGTCCATTTTCATGCTGCTGATAAAGACATACTGGCGACTGGGTAATTTATAAAGAAAAAGAATTTTGATGGACTCACAGTTCCACATGGCCTCACACGGAGGCCTCATAATCATGGCGGAAGGTGAAAGGCATGTCTTACATGGTGGCAGACAAGAGAAAATGAGAGCCAAGTAAAAGGGATTTCTCCTTATAAAATCATCAGATCTTGCGAGACTTATTCACTACCACAAGAACACTGTGGGGGAAACCGCCACACTGTTGATCCAATTATCTCCCACCAGGTCCCTCCCACAACATGTGGGAATTATGGGAGCTACAATTAAAGATGAGATTTGGGTGGGGACACAGCCAAACCACATCAGAATGATGAAAGCCCATCTGAGAACTTAGCTGAGTGCTTTGAGATGAGGAAGGGCAGGCAAGTGCAGGAGGGCAGTAAGCAGAGACTAAGGGAGGGGTGGAGCAGGCAGAAAGCACGGGATGTGTGAAGTCACTAGGACCAGAACATGCTGAGTGCATGTAAGGATCTGAATGCAGGCCAGTGTGGCCAGAGCGTGGAGAGTGAGGGAGAGGAAGAGATGAAATGAGGTCTGAAAGGTAGAAAGAAACTAAATCGTGCAGGACCTTGTAGGCCAAGGCAAAGAGCCTGCATGTTGTTCTAAATGTCAGAGGCCACTGAAGGACATCAGTCAGAGAAGCGGCATGCTATCCTTTATACTTCAGAGCAGTTATTCCTGACTGCTGAGTAGAGAATGGGAACTAGTTCCGTTGAACTAGTCCTGGTAAGAGATGATGGCAACTGGGACTTGACTGGTGGCAGAGAAGAGTGGATGTGGACTCAAGATGTATCTTAAAGGAAGGATCAGCAAGACTAGCTGCTGGTTTAATTTAGGAGGGAGGTGGAAAGAAATGGCAAGAATGCCTCCCAGGTTTTGCCTGAAGCCAGTGGGTGGATGGAGGTGCCATTTCTTAAGATAAGAAAGTCTAGAAGAGGAGAGGGTATGGCTGGAAGAGAAATATTAAGAGATTGGTCTTGGGGATGTTGAGTTTTAGATGTCCATGAGGCATCCATGTGCAGATGTTGAGTTGGCAGCTAGAAGGCCAGTGAGGATAGGAAGGGGGAGATGGGTGGAGGTGGATGGGAAATCTTCAGACCAAAGGCTAATCCCTGATTCCCTCCTGGTAAGCCCTCAATGTAACATTGGTTGATTGAATGAATGAATGACATTTCAGAAATACAGACATTAGAGGGACAATGTCTCTCAGGTGCAATCAGTAAGAAGCAACAGAAATCTTACAGAAGAATGTGACTGAGAATATCACAGTTTGGGGATTCCATTTTAAGACCAAAAATAGGCTTTAAACTCTACACCAAACTGTGAATCTTGTAAGAATCTCAGATACCACATCAGGCTGCTTATCCTCCCTCTCTTCTCCTACTCCCCATTTTCCAAGCTAACTTTATCCCCACCCCCTACCTGGTCTTCTTACCAGAGATAGAAACTTTGGAAAGCCT